CTGCAGTAACCCCATGGGAGGGCTAGAAGTCCTTTAAAAAACAGCAAATAGCAGCATTCAAACACCCACACACCAACTCCCCCGCCGGTGCAAAACAACTCCTCCAGAAAAAGGAGCAAGGAAAAACTAGGATGAGACCACACAGCAATACAACCAGGGAGCAGCCCATGGGGCGTAGGGCCCTGACAGCATCAAACATGCAAATATCCCCAGATTTCTCTGCAAGGCTGCTCTGCAACCGTGGTCTAAATATTTTCCTCTTGTTTTTGGACAGTTTCAGCAGAAAAAAAAGGACAGCAGTAGGTGCAAACCCAATTCAGTTTGTCGTAGCTCTTGCCGGGAAGCATAATCAGAACACATTTAATCAGAGGAGCGCTGCAGACAGCACAGCTTCCCTTGCAGAGCCGGCAAGAGCGCGGCAGCGAACCGCGAGAGCCCACGACCGGTTCAGGGATTTGCTGCTGAGCCCAAGCCAGGTGCATGTACAGCGGCTGTCGGCCAAGTTGAGTACGTGACGGTGTTTGTTACAGGTTGCACAAGTATCTGTTCATTAGCCCCTAGACGGCCTTTTTCACCTTTTCAAATTCAAACCGCGCGCAGAAACGACTGCTAGAGGACGGCACGATGTCAGAGCAGCAACGCTCACTCGGAGCAGCCTCCCATTTGAGGTGACATTTACAACCACATGAATGAGCTATCTGCTCTGTGAAGTCCTTGTCTTTGTGTGCTCTCTAGGATAACAACCTCACACATCCAGCCTAGAGCAAACCCAATGCCCCACCTAAGGAGAAATGAGAAATTTGGTACAGAGAGAACAGGTCTAGTCTCTCAAAATGTCACTTAAATCTTATTAGGCACCCAGGTACTGAGTGCATCATTCACCCCCATCGATGCTAAGAAGGGAGCAGAGGAGCAAGACTTGCACTTACACACCTATAATACTGAGTTAGGTGCCTACCAGGTGAGCATTTTGGTCAGTATCTATAATTTATTAATGAATATGGATGGAGAGCTATGCTCATAAAAGTAAAATAAAAAAGGGTCATTTCAGTTGTTACAGAAACACTCTACAACACAGCTACAGCAACCTGAAATAAAATATTCACGAGGTCTGTTCAATCAAATGAGGTAATTTTTCAAGAGTTCTTGGCATGAATGAGACCAGTACTTGCAAAAATGTGCAGGGGAAACAGGAAATACAAAGGAACAGCAAGATGTTACTGCTCCCAGGACGAGGGATGTTTGCAGATGGGATTCTGTGCAACCCTGTCTTCACTACTGTTGGCAACATCTGCAGTCAGAACTAAACACACCCAGGTGCTCAATCAGAATAAAAATTACACTTTCAAGATACTTTGTTTCACTTCAACTGAAACTTTCCTCCTCTGGGCCCCAGGAGAGATGAGATGGGAATGTGAGTAGATGCAGAACACTCAACTGCTTTCCAGGTGTTTGATACACTAAGATTAGACTAATTAGGCAAAGATTTATCAAAAACAAGCACAAATTAATCAGTCATTCCTTGTATATTCTTCTTTTCCTCTTTAACCTTGCTAGCTAACACTGGCAAGTGTAATCAGTAAAGCTATGAACCTTGGCTTGTCCACAATAGAGTTCAAAAGCACTTCATGGTAGAATTGAGAGCTCGTAGCAGAAGTCTTGTTGAGACTGCAAACATCATCAGCTAAACCCAAACCCGTGGACTTTTGCGTCCCCACTAAGGATACGAGCAAAGGGAAAGCTTACAAGCCTTAGCTATTTTTTGTAGGGCTCAATTCTAAGTCTGCAGGCTACCAATATCTTAACATCTGCTTTTGAAAACCACATTGTAGTTTGCTTTCCTGGGTTCAGAAAAAGGAATATCATTTCCTATGAAGTGTACGGTACTGAGGAAACGTACTGGAAGAAGGATGTGGGATTCACCGGGGGAGAAAATGTCAGCACACCCTCCAAAGAGCGACTCCAAACAGTAAGCGTGTAACTCACAAACTGAACGTGGGATGTGCAAAAATCTTTAAGAGGTTTGCCTGACCAGGGCAATGGAGTTCTACGATTTGTAGATCCCGATGTGGGGATCACCCAAGGAGAAGACACCCAGTGACCAAAAAGTGTAAGTAACAAAACAAAAAGCTGTTCTTATGAAAACCAATATAATAATACATTTCCCATCAGCTAAGATGCAGGACTCGTTACATACATTTATGCTGAGGAAATATCAGGCAGAGGAGCAATGGCTTCATCTAAAAGCCCAGCTGGGGGAGGCAGTGGGGGTCAGAACAGTAAGTTCACATAACAGCCGTGACGCAGAGGAGCAGCGCTGAATATCTGACATTATTACCACTAACTTGAGCCAGCAGCTAAGGAGTTCCTGAGCGTGGTCTTCAGTGCTAAGCCCTCTTGCTGACAAAGCTTATCACTTAACATCACACCTAGCACGGCAGACCCAGACTCCTGTTTTCATACAGCAAGATACAGCAAGGCTAAGAGTTTGAAAATCTAGAGCTTAAAAGAGAAAGCTTTCTGTCACATAATTAGGTGCTTGCTTGCTTGCTTTTTTTTTCTTTCATTACACCCAGTATCTCATTTTTGTGGTGGTTCCCTTGAACTCTGGAAAATCTATTTACCAGTCCAAATTTGGATGCAGTTATCTGATGTTAGGCTCCCATATTTTGAACACTTCCAAGTTAGAAAGTGAATAGTCAGAATACAAAGATGTAAACTGGAATTTCGATAAACTTCAGCAGTCCCCGTTTTATAAAGCAAAATAACCTCAGGTTCTAATAAACAGCCAGGATAGTCCAAAACAGCCTGCCACTAAAACCCTGCAGCAGATACTTGTTCAGTCTTGACTCTAAACTAAGAACACGTAGGAAATTAATCCAAATTATTAATTTCCTTCAGCATCTCAAAATAAGCTAAATGGAATAAGCTTGTCAATACATAGCAAGAGATAGAAAGGTTATTAGAGTTTATCTGGAGTGTAATTCAATTTATGTTTTATACCTTAGTTTTTCATCATTCAGTGGTCTTTCATATCTTTGTTTACAACAAATAGTGTTTTCTGGTCAACATCACTGTTCAGCAAAATCATTTCTGCACTCATGCCTGATTATTTCAAGAATTCCTACAAAGGGCAAGCATCTGCTTGAAAGAGCAACACTGCAATCACTTCAGTACGAATCCTTCTAAAGCAAGTGCAACACTTAAAAATCAAGTTCTGAAAAAGCAGGAGTTTAAAGTTGAAGAACCCCCCAAAAGAATTCACAGCTCAGCAGGAGACTCAGGAAAAGAAACTCAGGGCCTTGTTTGAACTCCTTACCAACTCCTTAAATTTCAACTCAACGACATGACAAAACATGTGAAAGCGAAGATAACCAGAACATCCCCTTTTTCCTTCCAAAGAAAACAGGAAATGCTTTTTCAGCCTTACTTGATCAACATTGCTTGATTTGGCAACAATTCCAGATGAATTTTCCCTGCTTCCTGTGTTCTTAAATAAGCAAATTCCTCCAGCATATCAATATCTGAAGAAAACGTTAAAGATTTGAATAGGAAAAAAATGTTAGAGAACATTCCTCCTTGTATGATTCTATCAAAGCAGTGCAAGGCTGGGACTGAACGAGATGCCCCCACGGTGGCACACAGCACCCTTTTAGTTTTCTTACTGTAGTCCCCTATTTAGCTTTTTTAGGGCTACAAAGATGATTAAGGGAGTGGAGCATCTCCCTTATGAGGAGCGGCTGAGGGAGCTGGGGCTCTTTAGTTTGCAGAAGAGGAGACTGAGGGGAGACCTCATTCATGGTTATAAATATTTAAAGGGTGAGTGTCACGAGGATGGAGCCAGGCTCTTCTCGGTGACAAACAATGATAGGACGAGGGGTAATGGACACAAGCTGGAACACAGGAGGTTCCACTTCAATTGGAGAAGAAACTTCTTCTCAGTGAGGGTGCCAGAGCACTGGCCCAGGCTGCCCAGAGAGGTTGTGGAGTCTCCTTCTCTGCAGACATTCAAAACCCGCCTGGACGCCTTCCTGTGTAACCTCATCTGGGTGTTCCTGCTCCGGCAGGGGGATTGGACTGGGTGAGCTTTTGAGGTCCCTTCCAATCCCTAACGTTCTGGGATTCTGTGATTTTCTTCTAATTTTTCCTTCCTTCCTTTAACACCGGAGCTTTTTGGAGCTGTCTCTGATAGGAGTTACAACCCTTGCTTCCTGGGGACCGTCGCTGGATGTCTGTTTAGGTTAAACACTAAACCATCCATGCGTGTGTATGCTGATCAAAGCATATGCCAGGTATCTGACCACAGAAATTAGACATTACCATCTTATTATTATCTTACTTGGTCCAAAAAAACTTACCCATGCAAAGCATTTGTTAACCAACAGCCAAAACCATTCAGCTCTTGGGAGCACAGGTACCACTTCATTGGTTTTGTTATCCACGGCTAAGGATGGCATAGCTGAAGTTAACACCCTCACAGCATAATGCCCTATATATATGTTACTGAAAACACTGCCATCACTTGCATGAGCACATGAATGGTATGAAAATAAACACAGAGTACGATTCACGCAGAAGAGCTGCTGCTGAAACTGTCTAACAGCTTTTTCAACGCCCCAGCACGTAGTCTTGGATGCGAAAGACCTTCTCGGTTAGGGAAAGGATACTTGTGACGTAGTTGAAAAAATTCTCGTACTGGAAGTTTCCTTGTTGGCAGATTTTGTTGATGGCTTTCAGGAACAAGTTCTCACCCCTCGGCCACTCGTGCTGAAGCAGAACGACCACGTGGCCCAGCGCCATATCGTCTCTGCTGTCTGTGAAGGCTCTGAGCTTCAGGGAAAAAGTGACATTGAGACCATCAGGAGAGACGTGCTGCTTTTAGAAATAGATGGGACTGATCTCACCTACATCCGCACAAACACAAATCGAGTTCTTTAGGCACACGTTTCCTTCTGCCCTAATATATACATTTAAAATAGGTTGGAAATTTCCAGCCAAAATACCGAATTCTCTCCACTGGCCTATAAGGGAAGTGTGAATGCAGACAGAAATAGTTATAGATTCAAACTATCTCCTCTGCCCAATGAATAGAAGACAAAAAGGAGAGAACAAACCCTCCTCCATCAACACTCCCTCCTCCCCCAAAAAAGACCCCCACAAATCCAGTTAGGTGAGAAGCACTTGAGGCACAGCACCTACTCACACCGCTGCGATATGGCCATGCAGCTTCAGGACCCCAGCTACATCAACTACGCTTTTGAGACATGAGAGAGTCTGGAGTAAGCCTGGAGTACAGCTTACCTTGAAACAAGCTAACAAGAGGTGAAGGCAGTAAGGCATGATAGCTCTGCTGGTACATGGCCACAGCTTCAAATCAGACCCTGCAACAGAACAGTTCATCGTACACTTCTTTATGTGTATCACGATTTTATATGTTGGAAAGAAATGAGAATGGAGAAAAACAAACCTACAGTTGCTTAATCCCAAGTAGGGAGGAAAGCTTTGAAGGTAAATTACAAATGACTCATGTGAAGATACATATTGAAAATTTATTCATTTCTCTTGTCCTGTGGTAGGACTTTGTCCCCAATTTGTTTCATTGTTTCCTTCTGGCTGAAGAAAAGAAGCCAGAGAGTCATGGTCGATGAGGCAGAGTCTGGTTGGAGGCCTGTAACGAGT